ATAGTTACTTTTCAAGTAATTAATTACTTTTAGAATCTTGTAACTCAGTTACTTTTTTGAAGAAGTAACTAGTAACTATAATTAATTACTTTTTCAAGGTAACTTGCCCAACACTGTACCCCATTAAAATCACATTTTCATTGAGGCCCACTTATTCTGAGATATTTCGTAATATGAAGCTTTTTTGTATTCCTGTTGGGAGGGTCGTAGAAGAGAGGGGAAGACCTATAATTTTCGGCCTCAGGTGTGATTTGTGTGTGCTTGTTGCAGCTTTATGGCCCAATAAGAAATGCTTCATTTGCCGTCACGTCAGTAAATGTTGGGCTCTTGATAGTTCCATTAGTCGACTAATTTGGTAGTCAGAAGCATGAGTCCTGCTGATGACTGAATGCTTTATTGTATCATCAATATCAGGTTTTTCACATAGTGACACTCAGGGTATAAAAATCACATTGTAATTGCAATCTGCTGTTTATTATGAAAATATGATGAATGAATAACTTGTATTTGAGTTCTCTGTCTGTATTTTGGGTGCTTGAAACATGTTAGGAAGTTCCCTACATGGTTACTTTAATTAAAAAAAAGTATTACAGCTTTTCCGTTACCTCATCAGGTTTCTGAAGAGGGAACCTCAGAAGCCTGAATCCCTGTCACAGGTGGCTGCAGTCGTCACAGATCGGATTCGTGTGCCGTGGCTGTGGGGTGGAGCTCGCAAGGTGGACCTGTCCATCATTCCTCCTCTTCTTCTCCTTCCTGCCCTGCTGCACCTTGCTGCTCTCCACTTCCTGATCGGGATGGTGGTTCTGACAGCTCTGCCGGGCTTAGTGCTGTGGTACTACTATTTCACCCACCGTAAGAAAGGACAGACCCTCTTCTTCCTCAGCCTGGCCCTTTTCTCCTTGGCGTACATGTACTACTTGTTCATCACTGAGGTGTTTCCACATGGGGATGTTGGACTGCTTCAGCTAGCGCTGGTAAGCGTCGGGGTTGTCCTCACCCTGCTGGCTCTTTTCCACACCAAGAGAGATCCGGGCATCCTGCGCCCAAACGAAGAGTCCGTTCACAGCAAGGTGGCGTATTACAGCTCCCCCACAGGCAGAAACCCTTCCCTCAGTGGTGGGAGGCAGGATGTGACGATGACTGTAGCCAACCGGGCTGGGGTGTCGGAGCATGCGGAGGAGGAAATGAAGGAAAGCAACCGAAAGAACTGGTGTCAGGCATGCAGGATGGTGCGGCCCCCCAGGGCGGGGCATTGTCGCATCTGTGGTGTCTGCGTGCTGCGTCTCGACCACCACTGTGTCTGGTGGGTTCCATTCAAATTCCTCTCACTCGACCTGCCTGTCATCACTGCTTTCTTCTCCTTCAAACACTGAAGTTGTCTTGTTTGTGACCTGCTTCTTTTCTGCACAAAGACCACGCAGATCTAAAATAACACCTTTAATTTATAAGAGTTAAGTTACTCTGTCGTTGCAGGTAATGAGCTCAGAGAGAATGAATATCTTTGTCCTCTTGTGTCTAGCTCACCATATTTTTTTCTATGTTGTGTTAACGTCACAATTTCCTTGCTGCCATCCTTCTATACCATGCACGCTCCTGCATGTTTGTGTGTAGTGTAGTGTAGTGTAACCCTGGAGTCTCAGTACAATGTTTTGTCTGCTTGTGTGTGTACACGTGTGTTTGTGCGTCCCCTCCTGTCTGTGTCGGGGCAGGATAAACAGCTGTGTGGGGCAGGCCAATCACCGCAGCTTTCTGCTCACGCTCGTCCTCTTCCTGTTGACGTCCCTGTACGGAATCAGCCTGGTGCTGCAGAGTGTGTGTCCACGGCAAAATCTCCTCTTCGCCTTACTCTACTGCCCAGGAGTCTACAACCAGTACAGGTAGTGGAAACAGACATACAGTTCTGTCAAAAACGAAGTATACCCCATTAATCAAGAGCTTGTAGAACCACCATTAGCAGAACTTTGAAGTGGTATTTTCTGTTTGGCTTTATCATGTTGCTGTGAAGGAATTTTGGCACATTCTTCTTTACCACATTACTTCAGTTCATTGAGGTTTGCAGGAATTAATTAATGCAGAGCTCTGTGAAGGTCCCACCACAGCATTTCAGTCAGTTTGAGGTCTGGGTCATTGCAACACCTTTATTCTTTTATTTTTCAACTATTCTGTTGTAGATTTGTTGCAGTGTTTTGGATCATCATCCTGTTGCATGACCCAGTTTAAAACCAAGCTTTAGCTGCCAGACAGATGGCTTCACATTTGTCTCTAGAATACTTTGGTACACAGAGGACTTCACGGTCAAATCAGTGACTGCAACATGTCCAGTTTCTGTGGCCACAAAACAAGCCCAAATCATTTTCCCTCCACCACTGCACTTTATAGTTAGCATAAGGTTTTTGTGCTGATATGATGTGTTTGGTTTTTCTGTGCATTATGGTCAAACATCTCCACCGAGCCAGGATACATGGGCATTACATCAGGAAGGACATCTGGTGTCAAATCTGTGCCAAGTTGTAACTTTCAGATTCATTCACTGTTTGAAATAAGGGCGCAGCCTTAAATGACTATGCATGTATGTGTGTACTGATTGGAAACTGTAAAGATTTCCAATTTTTATGCATAGCTAATTGAATTCTGGCACTAGCATCAGGGCTGTAACGGTTCTGAAACAGAGACCAAATCCAGAATGAAAACAAGGCATTGCCCCACAGACATCAGGAAACACTGGTGACAAATGGAAGGATAACACCACTACCATAAGCCACTATATACTGCTACGCTAGCTTATAGTGGCGGCGTTATCTTTGGCATCAGCTTTATTGTGAAATACACAGTTTAATTCAACTTTTTTGTTTTTTTGCAGAGAAGACTTGGTGTTGCTGTAAAAAAAAAAAAAATCTGTGTAAATACAGGTTTATAATCAGCTCAGTAAGGTTTGTATATAATGACGTTCAGTGACCATGTGGACCTGTGGTGGTTAATGCTGAGACCTAAAATATGGAAGTGAACTAAAAATGAATGAGAAGAAGTGTTTGAGTTTACTTTTAATTCATGATTTCATCACAGGTGATCATACATGTAATTTATTTCCTCATTCGCCTTCTCATTGATCTCCAGTATGTTGTCCATATTCCAATATGATGGAATTAGTCTGTTACGGCGTCATTGTGATGTCGTAAAAAGTGTGTTGTACAGCTCTCATATAATCTATTACTCGATATGGTTTGACTTTGTGTCCTAACGATGAATGTCAAGGTCAAATGCTTAGCAACCCTAGGTACCCAAACAAATGGAACAGATTATATACTCTGTACTAGTATTTATACTAGAAAGAGCATAATAAATAAATCAGGCTCTACGGGCAGGTTTCCTTAAAATGTAATGTAATCAATATATGTATTCACAGTGCCTTATTAATTAAAATTAGGAGCCTCTGTATTGTTACCCTGTGAACAAAATTAAACATCTTAACTGCACAGCGTCAGTACTTGTGCTTAAATAAACACCCACAGCTGAGATGGAGTCCACAGAAAATAGGGTTGACAGCCTTTTTCGCAGCAATTAAGATCCTCACTGACCCACTGCACAGCCATTTAATTCTTTTCCCAGAACTACCAGAAGTAAGTGAGGACCTTCCATGAGTATATTGAGTGTCTGGCTTTTTTCGCTCTACTGAATCACTTTCAAGAGTACCTTGAAGCAGTGCCCATTAAGCTGTTGGAGAAAGATTCACAGTTTTTGCTCAGAGCAACGAGCATGCATGTGAAGTAGTTCAAATGACTAGTACTGGCACTGCTACTGAACTCAGAGTTAAAAACCGTGAATGAGTATAATGCCCTCAATATGTAAAAATACTGGTTCTTTTAACTGTGATCTGTCCATTTACACCCTTTTAAACTGGTTACACTAAATATTTTATCTTTGAAAGTGGCTGAGCATGAAAATAAAACCCTTTTGCTGGTAAAAAAGAAAAAAATTGACTACCTCCGTCCTTGTCTGTGTTCCAGCACTGCTCTTTGCTTCACCTGTGCGTGGTACAGCAGCATCGTGACGGGCGGGTTGCTTCACCTGCTGGCGATACAGCTCATCAACGTCAGCTACAACGTGACCGAGCGCGAAGCCCGCATCGCCCTGCGAGAGAAAACCGCTCGCAGCGCCTACTGGGGACTCGTCGTGAACACTGGCGCCTATTCCCGAGGTTTCCGTGGCAACTGGTCTGAGTTCATGAGCATGGGAGACAAAGTGATTCCCCCCTCTCCCACTGACTTGGTGTGAGAGACTTGTGATGCAATGCTGTTTAAAGTTTGGGAATTGTGGCTGCTGGTGTGTTAGTGTCCACTGGATGGCAGCATGACTCCTTTTAAATGATTGGACGTGCTGCTGGCAGCAAACCTCAGAGCTGCTACGTTTTTAACGTGCAACATATGGAGTTGCACTGACTTTGACACTTAGCAATAACAACTACTCACGCCCATAAGATGCACATACTGCCATAAACGTGAAGGACATGCAGGATCTCCTCTATGCAGCTGGTCATATACGTCACCTCTGCCAAACAAATAGTACTAGTCCTTCACGCTGGATGTCTTCCTTGACTTGAAGGCTGACCTTATGTCTCCCCTCCTTCGTAGTGCCTTGATGCGAGACAATAACTCCAATCTGCTGATCCTGGTGGGGACATTTTGTCTGAACACAGCACAAGATGATGCCTCTGAGTGCACAGATAGGATATTCAAGGAGGCTCTCTAGGGCTCACTATAACCTTTTTATCATTCACAAACAGACTGCACTTGACCTTGTGAAACGAATTCATGGATATTTATCACAACTAATTGAAACATTTTGGCACAGGCCAGATAGGCCAGCTAATTTGAAGTTGCACAGCAGCTGATTGCTTAGTTATTACCACACGATTACTTTGACTCTTTTAATCTGTTTCAAAACTGACTCAGAAATGGAACAACTCTTAGATAAATGGAAAACGCAAATGAATCAATATGTTTTGGCATCAGTTAGAAATGAGTTTTTCACTGCTTTTGGTTCTCACAGGCATTAAAGGGGTTTTTTTTGTTTGTTTTTTGTATTCCAATAATTGCTCTGGTTGATTTATGTGTTTCTGTGAAAATATTTTATAAAATAAATGTAAGAAGTTTGCAGTGTGTCATCTTCCAGAGTGATGCTGAGATGTTTGCGTGTCGCCTGCATCAGTATGCAGTACGTTGCCCGTTCTGTCGGTCTTCCCAGAGGCGTTACAGTGGATGGGAGCAGAAATCTGGGAGAACCTCAGTCACTTTGCGGCACAGCTTCTCCCTCCGCTCGTCCTTCTCTCTTTCCTTGCGCAGCAAACATGGAAGTTGCCTCCAGGCCAGGAAACATTGCCGCAGCACTCGTCTGATATGCAGGCAGATGGAGGGACAGACAGGAACAGAGCAAGTGAGCAATAACAAAATGGATTAAAGGGACCTCTAGCATGACAACAGCTAATAAGTTCTCACATGTAACTCTGGGGCTTGTTGGTAGTGTCACCAAGGCAGCTGGTGGGAATTCATTTGCACCCTGTGGCCATTTAGTGGACTTCACCTAACAAGCTGAGGTTTATAAACATTCTCAACTTGTGGCAACGACAGATCATTAAATCCTACAAACGCTTCTTATAAAAAGCCCTCTTTTGGACCACAATGCAGATTTGTGCATTGTAACAAAATTATTAATATTATTGACTCATGGTGTCATTTTTAATATCAGTTCAATTCAATTTTATTTATACAGTGCCAAATCACAACAACAGTCACCTCAAGGCGCTTTATATTGTAAGGTAGACCCTACGATAATACATATAGAGAAAAACCCAACAATCATATGCCTTCCTATGAGCAAGCACTTTGGCGACAGTGGGAAGGAAAAACTCCCTATTAACAGGCAGAAATCTCCAGCAGAACCAGGCTCAGGGAGGGCCAGCCATTTGCCGTGACTGGTTGGGTTGAGAGGAGGAAGGATGGATGTTGTGGCGGACTGTTGTACCTTGTAATTAGTGGAAGCTGTGACGCTAAACTAAGGACAAACCTGAACAAACCAGCAATGAGAATGTTTAGAATCTGAAAAATTAGCATGTATGTCACACCAATTAACGGGACCCTGCTGGTTTCTTTCTGGTTTCTTTCTGCTTGGTAATAGTGCGAGTATATCATAATTAAAATAGCCAGGAAAAGAAGAACCTAAGCAGTATCTTGTCTGTGTAAATTCTGGCTTGCTACTTTAACAGATTTATGGCATGAACAGCAGCATGTTAGCATGCTGGCTCTAGGATTTAGGGAGACCATACAAGCACAGATGGTTTTATATAAGACCGCTATATCACAATTACCCCCCAGATTTATTGACTTTTGGGTATCTACAAAGGCTATTATTGCAGAAACGTGGCCCGTTTAGGAGCGCTACACACTGAGCTACAAAAGCATCCCAACAGACTCCATTAATCATGATATGAAAAGACATTTGCAGCTAACAGCAGATATGAGTTGGTGCACCGGAGTCAAGGAGATGGTGATATAAATTTTCTGTCTAATGAAGAGGAAGTTACACTGGAAAAGGAAGATGGAAAAAAAAGATGCACTTCATATTGGTGAATATCCAGAAACTGCTTCTGCAATGTGTATTATAGAATTACCATCTACACAACTTCCTAGTAAATCTATTTTTTCAGGGCTACTTGAGGTCTTGAGAGTCTCTTATTGAAAATGCCTAGAGGTCAAATGAATGTTTACATCTTCAAAGGCTTGCAGGCCCTGTCCTTTCTCTAAGAGCTGCAAAGACTGTTCTGATTCAGCAGTTTAACTTGTAATTAAAGTTCTTTCAAGTTGTTAAATATAATAACACCCACTTGGCTGGTTATATTACTGTGAACATATGGCAAAGTCAGGGGTAGCAGACCTCTCATTATGCTCCAGAGCCAGCTCCTGATGCTCCCACTCCACCAGCCTCTCCTGAGTCACGTGGTCCAGCAGCGCCAGCAGAAACCTCCTCAGAGTGCGTGTGCGATAGAAGCGCTCGGCTCGCTCTTCCTGAATTATCTGTATGTCTCTCATCTGGAATGAAAAACACTTGCTTACAAATAGGAATACAGTGAAAGTGAACAAAAATTATAAGATGAGATGCACAGTGCTGTGAAAAAGTATTTTTCCTTTTCTCGATTTCTTAGTTTTTTTGGTATTCATCACACTTACATGTTTCAGATCACCAAACATCATCATCTTGATGCATTGTGAAAAGGTTATTTTCCCATAAACCTAAAAACTGATTGTGCCACCTTTAGCAGCCACATTGAAGGCTGACCAGCCAGTTTAAGGTCACGCCAAAGCATCGCAGTCTGATTTGAGGCCAGAGTGTGATTAAGCCGGCCCAACAGCTTTATTTTTATTTCTTTTTTTAGCCATTCAGAGGTGGACTTGCTGATGTGTTTTGGATCATTGTCCTACTGAATAACCTAAGTGCTCTTGAGCTTCAGGACAGAAAGTGATGGCCATAAATTCTCCTTCAGGATTTTCTGGTAGAGAGCAGAATTCATGGTTCTATCAATTATGGCAAATCGCCCATGTCCTGAAGTATTAAAGCAGCCTCGACACTGTTGGTATGGTGTTAGTGTTCTTTTTATGAAGTGCTGTATTAGTTTTTATTACTTTTTTATGGGGGGGGGTGAAGCAAGAAGGTCCTGATTTCAATTCCACCATCAGGGTCTTTCCGTGTGTAGTCGGCATGTTCTCCCCGAGTTTGTGTGGGTTCTCTACAGGTACTCCGGCTTCCTCCCACAGTCCAAAGACATGCACTTAGTGGGATTAGGTTAAGTGGTAACTATAAATTGCCCATAGGTGTGAATCTGAGTGCGAATGGCTGTCTGTTTCTATGTGTTAGCCCTGTGAAAGACTGCTGACCCGTCCAGGGTGTGCCATGACATGACCTCTGTAATGAGTCAATCACCTCTTGGAGTCTACTTGACTTTGCCAGACAGGTTCTGTTTTGGTGATTTCTTGATTGAATAGGTCGGGTAATTAAACAACTGAATTATGAAACTGAACTCAGCTTTTCCAAAAATTGCTCTTAATCACAGTTAATTCATGATTTAACAAGAAGGGCAATTATTTTTTTCCGCATAGGGCCAGGTATTTAAAAATGCATTTAGTATTTAATCAGTTATTTTTGTCTAATGTTAATTTTTTTTGACCTGAAACATGTAAGTGTGAAAAATATTTTTTTTAAAAACACTAAGAAATCAGGATATAAAAGATGGTTGAAAAACTAAAGGAAAATCTAATATAAGTGTTGGTTGTCTCCTTATTTGATGTTTTTCTGATAGTGTGGGTGGTGACTGGGGAGCTGGTGACTCAGAAGGTCACAGCAGATGATTTCCATTATTTTCATACTCATCAAGCTGATCAGTGACCCATATCGCCCTGTGGATGGTTTATTATCAACTGGGAGAGAGAAGTCACATGAACACAGGAATGTCTCGTGGTAGGAAAGAACTTTGTTTTGATTTGCATTGATCCCTCTCGTGTACCCAAGTCATGCCAGCAAACACAGACAGCAAAACAGAGGCACAGGGCTGGCTTCTTTCCTTTAACCTGTCACTCATACAGACTGGAAAAATGAAAATATGACTGAGCAGGTAGAAGAGGAGATTAGGAAAAAGGTATTTCTTTTAGTCAGCCCCGGATGGCGTCTGTATGTGTGCAGGTGTATACGCACCCTTTTCCAGCAGGTTAAGCTCCTCCGAAGCAAAAAGTGCTGGTGCAGTTGGTCAGCACAAGCTTCTTTGTCAGACACAGACTCTCTTGCTGATTGCTGCCAGCCTAATGTGCACCGCCTCAGGAGGATGAAAGTGTGATGATGCTCAGCCAGCTGGCAGGGAATGAAAAAGAGGGGGGGAAAAGCACCAGTATGCACTCGTGAATGTAAACTCGATCATATGTGCCAGGTAGAAAAGCCATGTACTCGCATCCAAACAGAGAGGTTTTATAATAAGCTCTGAAACATGAATACAAAAGATTTTCTGCGTTCATTTGTTAAGCTTTGCTAAGACAGGAACATTTGGAGGATGAAACAGTGATGATGTCAAGGGAGTGCTGCTAGAAAGCTTTTGTTTGGACGTATTCCTTCTGCACTTTCACGTCCAAAGTGTGTCGTAGATTTGCCTTTGGCTCGGTTTTTGAGCGACAAAAATTTATTTTTAAAAAAACCAGAGCAGTTTGTGTATTGCTCACAATTGTCAGTTATTGTGTACATTGCTCACAATTGCCACTTTAACATGCCACTTTTAATGGTGTTAAAGTCAAATAAATGTTTTTAGTTTACTCCTCACAGCCAGAAATACAATAGTACTTGCTGGCTCCCTGTGTCGCTGTAGACTGACAGCTGAAATGGACAGGACAGGTGATTTACCTCCACACTGGCTTGTCTGAGCTGAATGAGGCGTTTCCATGGTGCCAGGCCCCGCCGCAGCAACAACGTTCTGCAGTGGTGTTGGCGGGCCAGTGCCATCAGCTCCCGTTGCCTTTTCAGTTGTTTCTGTTTCTCCTCTTCTCTCTGTGCAGAAACACAAAGTGAGATTATTTTTAATATTCTGCAGGGAGTCACATGAGAGAACCGCTTCTTGTACTCAGACCCACGAAGTTCAGCTTTTTTGCAGACATCCATAAAATATGAAGTACACCTCACCTGTCTTTCCAGCCTTTTCTCCTCCCGACGTCTTCCTGCTGCTTTGCGTTTCTCCTCCTCCTCCTCCCTCAGCCTGAGCTCTTCAGCGGCTTTCATCTGAGCCTGAAAGTTGTGTTTGCCATTAAATTTGGATGTGTTTTTTTTAACGACAGCTGTTTTGGAGGTCCCAAAATAAAAATGGTAAGAGGTCTGCACTTATGGAGTGCATTTTAACCTTAGCTGGCTTCTACTGCTTTACTATCGGTTTCTCATTCACCTATTCACACAAACTCCCGGCTTCACGTCTTTCCTGAGATCAGTTACAAACAATGAGGGGCAGGGAATCAAACCACCAACCCATGGGAAATCAGAGCCACCACTTGAACCACAGCTGCTGCTGCAAAGAAAAAAAAACCCACGTTTCCCCAGAAAATGACCTTTCAGCTTACCAGCTTTTCTTCTTCTTTCTTCCTCTTGAGTTCCTCAATTTCCTTCCTTCGCTCTGCTCGCTGACGTGCTCGGGCCTCCATGGCTTCAGAGAGACAGAGGGAAAGTAAGCGGATGACAAGCTTTTCTTCTGTGCAGTCCAGTGATTGGTCATGTACACGTTTCTTTCTTAGACTTTTCATTCTGAACACGAACACATCGGCCCTTATGCCCACAAATGTAAACTGCTCACAAGTGTGACTCGGAGTCACTTAATTTCCTGAATAAAAGAGCTACAGCAGTGCTTCACCACATCTTTGGGAGATGGAAATGAACTTTCTGTGCGTGTATGAACGTGCAAGTTCCCCTGCACAATGAGCTACTTTTAATACTGACCTGTGGTGAGTGGATGGGGGCATGTCTGCAGCGTGACAGCTTTGCTTGAAGGTGCACTCTGACTGTCAGGTTCTCCAGTCCCTCTCGGTGCCCTGCAACAGAAACAAAGGCCTGTCAGAAGTCTGTCTGATACTGTTCCTGGCAAGTGTTACTCAGAAAGGTAATGACCAAAGCCAAACTTGACTGACATACATTAGATTGTCTGTAAATGAACTCCAATGTGCCGAGCTTTCTTCTGTTACTGTATACACTGCTTGGAGAGTGTATTCCCCCTGTAGCAGTCATAAACTTTTTCTTTCCTTTTACTCATTCTAAAGTTTAAACATCATCTGTTTCTTTTATCTTCTCCTCCATGATTTATATTAATAACAAAAGCTGTTATCGGGTAACAGATTGTACCGCAGTGCATCTTCATCTATATTATGGAAACCGTAATTATCTATACCATAGTACCAAACTACACATATGAAATATTGGTTCCTTTTAACTTTACCTAATGAGGTGTTCACACAAATAAACCTTTCCACTTGTTCTGCCATTAGTCTGCGCCGAGGAAAGAGAAGTGAACAAACAGTGATTACTCATCTTGAGAGGTTTCAGAGCTGTTAACAAATTCAGAGTGTGTGGAGTTAGTCTTACACAAGGCTGAGTGTGAAGCCAGGTTAAATATAGTATGTGAAACAATTTAGTAGACGGGATCAACCTAAACAGCACAGGCTCTAAATCTCTAAGCCTGAGGAACCAACCAAACATGGTTTCATTTCAACATCTGTCACACGAACATTTCCAAGTTTAAATAATGCACAGTGAAAGGTCATCCCTCCTTGGCTTCATCCAAACTGCACATGCAGGCTGTGACAAATATCTCTCAGTGGGCTCCGTCCTTCTTCATGTGGACCCGTTCCACAGCTGATTCATGAGAAAGCACAGCAGTACATTTGTATACACATTTACAAGCTACAGATGGGCATGGTGGTGCAGTGTGTCTTCATACCAAGCAGGTTTTGGCTTTGAACCTCCTGCTCAGCTTGGGCCTTTTTGTGTGGAGTTTGTAAGTTGTATGTTTGTACAGGATTTTTAAGCATGAACGGATTGTTCAATGACGGTCCAGCGTGTCACGATGCTCAGAATCTGCCTTTGCAAAGCTCACAGCTTTCACTGCACCTGAGCCAAATGTCTTTTCCTGCAGGGGGTCTTCAGGAGGGGACACCAGTTTCCCTGTTTATGAAGCAGCACTGGAGCTTATATACATCCAGTTCATCTGGGCTTTTTCCACCTTGCTTTGGGTTCCTAATCAGATTTTAAAGTTGTGACACCAGTTTAGCTTACTTGGATGAGCAGGCAATCATAAGCTGAAAGGCTCAATCCAGTGTCCCGCATTCGAGTCTCAACCAGGACTCTTTGTTGCGTGTCCTTCCCCCAATCTCTATCCTATTTACATGTCTAGTCTTCACTGTTCTATCAAATAAAGTCCAGAAAAGCCCGCTCTCCCCCTCAAAACGGTTATAACCCTAGAAAAAACACCACATTCCTACACCACATTAAGGTCGAAAGAAGCCAGTGAGGGGGTTTGGGCAGTGACCAGGATCGTCTCCAGCACACCTCCACCTGACGCTTTTGTAGGGCACAACCAACAACGAGGACACCTTTTGTTAGACCCTGAACTCGCTGCAAAACTATATTTTTCAGCTGGCCTGAGAGTACCTCGGGCTTCACAAGGAAAAAGCGAAACAGGAAATGTAAATCTGGAACTATAAATGAGCAGAAGTTATAAAGGATGGACGGACACTAAGCATACTCATTATTCAAAACTTTGCAAAAATTATACTTTGCTTTAATTTGTTATGAAATTAGAAACATTTGGCATCAGCAGACTGGATAGACTAACAAAAGACAGAAACTAAAAGCATTTATTAATGACTTAATTATTTATAACTTAATAGCACAAACTGACAGCCCAGAAGTTGCTTTTTGGCTTATAATGGACCTGCAGAACATTAGTTAATTATTTATCATTCAGTGAAAAAGCCAATAATTGCAGCTTTAAATCCTTTATAAAAAGGTGCCTTATGGCAGGGTGGAACCATAAAAACTGCTGATGACACAGGGTTGGCTGTTTGGTGTCACAAACAAATAAACACTCAGTTTAATACGTATTACTTATAAAATGATTCACACTAATCTAGAGCTAACCGGTTCATGCGATATGCACTGAACATACCTCTGCACCTTGGTGTCAATATTGC